TATTTTCAGGCCCACAATGCTCCGCCTCAGTGTGCCCCCAAGTGAAGTAGGTCAAGGCCCCGTGTGGCCAATGCTCGTTGCTCCTTAGAGTGTTTTTCTTTCTGGCTTTATTGAGGCCTAATTGACAGATAAAATTGTAGGATGTTTAAAGTGCACAGTGTGGTCATTTGGTACACGGATAGAATAACCACCGTCTAGTTAGTCAACACGTTCATCACCTCACATATTTATCTTCTTGGTAGGGGGAGAACATGTATGTTTCACTCTCTTAGCAAATTTCAATTGTACATGTTATCACCTGTAGTCACCATGTCATGTGTTGGATTCTCAGATCTTATTCATCTCATAACTGAAAGTTTGTACCTTTTTATTAAACTCTCCCTATTCCCGCACCTCTCAGTCCCTGTAACCACTTTTCTACTCTCTATTTCTATGAGTTCAACATTTTAAAAAAGATTCAGCAGGTGATGCCATGTAGCATTTGTCTTTATTTGGCTTATGTCACTTAGGATAATGCTCTCCAGGTTCATGTTGTCACAAATTGCAGGATTTCCTTCTTTTTTAAAGCTGGAAAATATTCCACTGTATACATCTACTATATTTCCTTTGTTATTGATTTTTAGAGAGGGAGAGGAAGAGGGATAGGGAGAGGGAAAGGGAGGGAGGGAGGGAGGGAGAAAAAAATATTGATCCGTTGTTCCACTTTATGCATCCATTCGTTGCTTCTTGTATGTGCCCTGGGTGGGGATTAAACCCACAACCTTGGCATATTGGGACAACACTTTAACCAGCTGAGCTACCTGGCCAGGGTGCTGTGCTTTCTTTATTCATTCATCTGTCGACACACACTTAGGTTGTTTCCATGCCTTAGCTCTTGTGAATAATGCTGCACTGAACATGGGAGTAGAGATATCTCTTTGAGATAATGTTTTTGTTTTCCTATGCATATATACCTGGAAGTGGGATTGCTGGATCACAAGATAGTTCTATTTTTAACTTCTTGAGGAATCACCATACTATTTTCCATAGTGGCTGTACCAATGTACATTCCCAACAGTGTACAAGGGTCCCCTTTTCTCCACATTCTCACCAGCATTTGCCATCTCATGTTTGTTTAAAAAAATTTTTTTAATCCTCATTTGAGGACATGCTTAGAGGAAGCGAGAGAGAGAGAGAGAGAGAGAGAGAGAGAGAGAGAGAGAGACAGACATCGATTGGTTGTCCTCCGTATTTGCCCTGACTGAGGATTGAACCTGCAACTCAGGTATGTGTCCTGACCAGGAATTGAACCTGCAACCTTTAGGAGCACAGGATGGTGATCAATCACCTGGGCAACTCCAGCCAAGCTTGTGTCTTTTTTATAATGGTCCCTGTAACAGGAGTGAGATGATATCTCATTGTGGTTCTGAGTTGCATTTCCATGGTGCTTAGTGATTGTTTTTTGCTATAGAGTTGTATGAGTTTCTTATTTGTATTGGATACTAATCTCTTATTGGATATGTGGTTTGCCAATATTCTCTCCCATTGAGGAGGTTTTTTGTTTGTTTTTTAAATTTTGTTGATGATTTCCTTTACTGTGCAGAAGCTTTTTGATGTAGTTCCATGTGTTTATTTTTGCTTTTAAAAAAAATACATATTTTATTGATTTCAGAGAGGAAGAGAGAGGGAAATAGAAACATCAATGATGAAAGAGAATCATTGATTGGCTGTCTCTTGCACACCCTACACTGGGGATCGAGCCCATGACGGTGACCTCCTGGTTCATAGGTTGATGCTCAACCACTGAGCCATGCTGGGCTATTTTTGCTTTTATTATCGGATCCAAAATTGCAGTCAAGGCAGATGTCAAGGAGTTTGCCCCTATGTTTTCTTCAAGGAGTTGTATACTTTCAGGTCTTATGTTCAAGTCTTTAATCCATTTTGAGTAGATTTGTGTGTATGATGTAAAATAGGGATCCAGTTTCAATTTTTATATGTGGTTATGTAGTTTTGCCAACACCATTTATTGAAGAGACTATCCTTTTCCCATTGTATAATCTTAGCTCCTGTTGAAACTTATATATGCACTAGAGGCCTGATGCACGAAATTTGTGCAAGAGTAGGCCTTCCTTCCCCCAGCTGCCAGCACCAGCTTCCCTCTGGCACCCAGGACCCAGGCTTCCCTCGCAGCCCAGCTTCGTCCGGAAGGGCATGTGGTCTAATTAGCATTTTACACTTTTATTATTATAGACTAGAGGCCCGGTGCACAAAAATTTGTGCACTCATGGGGGTCTCTCAGCCTGGCCTGTGTCCTCTCGCAGTATGGGACCCCTCGAGGGATGTCCACCTGCTGGCTTAGGCCTGCTCCGGGGATTGGGCCTAAGCCGGCAGTTGGACATCCCTCTGGCAGCCTGGGAGCCCTCAGGGCATGTCCACTTGCCAGCAGGAGCAGGCCTAAGCTGCAGTTGGACATCCTTAGTGCTGCTGAGGAGGTGGGAGAGGCTTCTGCCATCACCGCTGTACTGGCAGCCATCAGCCTGGCTTGTGGCTGAGCAGAGCTCCCCCTGTGCGAGCACACTGACCACCAGAGGGCAGCTTCTGCATTGAGGGTCTGTCCCCTGGTTGTCAGTGTGTGTCATAGTGACCAGTCATTCCTAGTCATTCTGCTGTTAGGATCAATTTGCATATTACCCTTTTATTATATAGGATAGAGGCCTGGTGCATGGGTGGGGGTCGGCTGGTTTGCCCTGAAGGGTGTCCCGGATCAGGGTGGGGGTCCCTCTGGGTGCCTGGCCAGCCTGGGTGAGGGGCTGAGGGCCATGTTCAGACTGGTCACACCCCCGTCAGGGTGGGGGTCCCCACGTGGGTGCCTGACAAGCCTGGGTGAGGGGCCGATGGCTGTTTTTAGGCTGGCCACGCTCCCCAGTGACCCAAGCCCCAGCCTCTCCTTTTTTTCTTTATTTTTTTCTGGGATTTATTTATCTTCTATAATTGAAAATTTGTAGCCTTGAGCGGAGCCCAGTGCCGGCCAGGGCAGGTGGAAAGCTTGGCTTCCTCCATCGCCAGGGGCAACCCAAGCCTCCTGCTCGCTCCAGCTCTGTGGCTGTCGCCATCTTTGTGATGGAGTGATGGTTAATTTGCATATTACTACTTTATTAGATAGGATGGGCTCTCTAGTCTGTTCCATTGGCCTATGTGTCAGTTTTTATGCCGATACCATAATGTTTGGTTACTACAGCTCTGTACTACAGTTTGAAAGCAGGAAGCATGATGTCTCCAGCTTTGTTCTTCTTTCTTAAGATTGCTTTGGCTATTTGAGGGTCTTTTGTGGTTTCATACAATTTTAGGATTTTTTTCTATTTCTATGAGAAATGACATTGGAATTTTGATAAGGATTGCATGAAATCTGTAGATTACTTTGGGCAGTATGGATATTTTAACAATATTAATTATTCAGGTCCATGAACACAAAATTTTTCCATTCATTTGTGTCTTCTTCAATTTCTTTCATTATAGTCTTGTAGTTTCAGTGTACAGATCTTTCACCTCCATGGTTAAATGTATTTGTATTCTATTCTTCTTGATGCTCTCATAATGTTTTTAGTTGGAATTTTGAAATCTGGCAAAGAGAGAGACTACCTTCATGGGTCATTTCACCTGAAACCATCACACAGTCCCTCCCTCTGAGAATGTTCTCCCTAGAATTACCAACTTAATTTGATCTATAGAGCAAGCTCCACTCAAACCTGACCTACTTACACCAGACTCTCACTTGCAAACACTCGCTGCTGGAGGAAAAACAGTGTGAAGACTCCTTAGCCCTCAGCCGTGAGGAATCCTGGGTTACTCTGGCAATGAGGCAGAAAACTGCAAAGAGCTTGACCAGCAAAGCAGAAAAAAGGCCAAAGAAAGCCCAACCTAATTCATATAATAAACAACACTATTTGACCTTATACAGCAAAATAGTTATAAACTTAAGAATTCTACAAAAATTCATGAGTGTATAATCTTTTTAAAATCAAGTGCTCTGCATTGTGAAACATCAGCTACTAATTAAAATTGGAAAGTCTCAAACTGATGAGGTCACATCTATACAGCCTTTATAAACAGTCTTTGTGGTGTATGTCTTCCTTGAACCTGTGATTTGTGTAGTACCGACTCTTGCTTTCATGATTCTGACGTATTACAGGGCTATGCTCTGCGTTTATTTCATCATCACCCTTTTACTTTTTTATATCAATTACATTTTATTTTTTAACATATATCTCAATCAGATCATTCAGCTCATGCTTTAATATAAAGTGTTTTATCATCATCATCACTCCTTTTAAAATAGGTGTCTGGCATACGCTTTTAATAAGACAGGATTTTAAAAACAAAAAGTGGTAACTGGGGGACTAAGGTGCTTTGACAGTAAGCCTAGTTTTAATGCTTAAAAACAAACCAACTTTGCCTGGAGTTGGAGCACGGGGCCAAACTGTGAGGAAAGGCGAGCTCCAGTGGGAAACATGTCAGGTTCAGAGCTCGGCAGGAAGTGGGACCGGTGCTTGGCGGACACGGTCGTCAAGGTAGGTACTGGTTTGGATTAGGGCTTGTCTTCTCACTTACCTTCTTTAAAAGAAGAATGTGGCCACTAGCCTTTGGTTCTGGCATGGGATTGGGAATGGCCTACTCCAGCTGTCAGCATCATTTCCAGGCTCCATATCTTCCACGCGGAAAATAGGTGAAAGAGCAGAAGCAGTGACTTACCTGAGAACATGTCAGTGGGAGGAGTCATGTTTATCCCTCAGGACACTGAAGTGCCCTGGAGCCAGCTCACATTCTTCTGTAACAATGTTATCAGCAGTGCTTTAACTCCAGCATGCTGCTCACCTGCTCACGTATTTGAAACCAAGTCTGTTTCTTGTTTTGTAGTTTCTCTCTGGAAATTGCAAGGAGGTGGTCTTAAAAGAAATAAATTAAGCAAAAATAGGCAAAACAACAACAAAAACAAAGCCCAAAAAACAAAAAAACAGCGAACTGAAAATTGAAGTATAAGTGGCATTTAATATTTTATGTTTTCAGTTTTTTAACATATTTAACAATTACTTTACCCAGAACCCCTGATTTGTCCACAAACACTATAGGTCCAATTAGTTGGTTTTTATTTTAAAGCATCACTTTAATAAAGACAACTGGCTAAGAAATAAAAGAGAAAACACTCAAAATGTGTACCCCAAGCCCATTTTGGAGGATTTAGTGAACACGAGTCTCTCTTGCATATTAAGCAGGCTGGTCACGCTTTGCCCAGGATTCCTGAATAATGAGGATTTGCTCCCTAAACTTCCCTTATGGTCTTGCCATGCCCCATGCTATACGCTCAGCAGTCCTGAAACAATCCCAATCCAGCAGCATTTTGCAAGTCATTGAGAATATATTTTTTAAGTACAACCCATGCATAACACCATGATTAAGATAGCAGTAGGAAATGGAAGCTTAACAAAACCTTACAGAAACAATTGAGAGTCTGCATGAAATCGAGGTCACAGAAACAGTGCTGCACCTCAGGATTTCTGTTAGGTACTTTAAAAAGGTATTGAACGCTAAAAGCATTTAATATGAAAAGGGAAGTTGAAGCCTTGACTTTCTTAAAAATTTCACTCTTAAAATATTAGACAAACATGAAAAACATGAGTTAAATTCCTCCACATGCAAGCCATCTGCCATCCATTCCAAGTTTGTTAAACTTCATTTCTTCACCAAGAACCGCGTGATGTCGGATCCACGCTTTGCCGCCAGAGACTGTCTCCTCACCTGGCTTCTTTCCTTGGCTTGCCTGGCAGTTCTCTAAAAGTTAAAAACATGAATGTGTTCACGCGCGGGGGGAAAAGTACTGGCTACAGAAACTCAAACACTCCCTGCATTCTGTTAGTCGGGAACTAGCTCCGTGACTGCCACACCCACTCCCAGTGCTTTGCCATTATGGGCATCACCAAGCCACGAGCCGCGAACGCCAGCAGCTCTGCCGAGTGCCCAGGTCCTGGGTTCACTTAGGACCAGGTGCTGAGGAGAAAACACAGAGTTTGGGGGGGATGCTACCCAGGGAGGTCCGTGCATCCCTCCCTTGGGGTCTCAGGGAGGAGGCCATGATTCTCCTCATCCAAGTGGGAGCGTTAGGGCATCTTGGGATTTCCCAGAGTGCGGTGTGCACAGGGCCGGCCCTTTCCTCTTCTCTGGAATTCCCAACCCAGCAGCCAAACCGACGCGGAAAACAAAATGGGACAGGCAGGAAATGGATTCTTCTGCCAGTCCCGCAGATAAGACTCTTCACGAGAACCTGAAAAAGCGACCACAGAAGGGGCAGCATTTTGCTATATCTTAATTCTCTTATTAGTCTTAAATGTGCTACTAATTTGCACAGCGGAGAAATCGGACGACTTTTCCCCCAGATTGGAGTCCATGCACGTGTGAAGTGACCCAGGTGGAAGGGTGAGGAGAGCAAAGAGGGTTCAAATGAAGAACAAACGGAACAATCCCCGTTTGTGTAAAAGTTATGTTTGTGAAGAGAGGAATCTAAAATATTAAAAGGCTAAGAAAATGCTCACATAATATGAACATTGTCAAAGGATCGGAACAGATCTCAAAGCTGTAAATACAATTGATTAGCATTTTAAAAACCATCAGGGTCTTTAGTAAACAAACTTGGGCAGGCCACTTCCCCCACCGCATGGGCACAATCCATGCAGTCAGATGGGCACTCTCTTCACTGATGGGCTGGGGGGGGAGGGGGGGGCGGCTAACAGTATAACCTTTGGGAAAACAACTTGGAGATAAAAACATCAGCCTCAAAAATATCCAAACACGTGACTCGGTGATATTTTAGATCTGAGAATCTATCTTAAGGAATGACCTCAAAACATTAAAAAAAAAAAGTGTGTGGCAACAATATGTATAAGAATGAAAAAGAATGTAAGTAACTTCAATGTGCATTCGCATAGGAAGGGCTAAATACACTACAGTAGAGATCTATTCAACAGAATCATGTGTAGCCACTTTAGACAATAACATTATGAGTGTTTATCATGGGAACGTGGGAGAATGCTTAAGTCTGCCAAAGGGGAAAAATAAGTCAGATGCAAAGTTGCATATTGAGTAAGTGTTTCTTTCGAAGATTATCTCAACAGGTAGGCCTGACTTCCCTTTGCTGACTGCCCGTTAAAAATTCATCCTAGTTGATAAACAAATACTGTGTCATTTTTCCCCGCTCGTTTTAAGCAACAAGTCATTAATTGCTCAAAGATGTGCCGAGGTTAACAGGCTTTATACTTTGGCCAAGAGTGCAATGTTTGCATGTTGAACTAAGTTGGTCCTAGAGATAGTTTATTAATGTTCTTAGACATTTCAGGACATCCTTAGCCGCACATGCAAACATGTCACTGCCCCAATTCACTAAACGTCAGCTGGAAGGTCTGGGTCTCTTCAAGACCATGCAAACTACATTGTATTTCTTTTCTGCTAGGCGGTGGGGAAATTTCCGGGTCCTGGGATGAATCAGAAGGCAAGCAGCCTGTCTCCCATCTGTGACTGAGACCTAGGCCTCGAGAGGAAACACAGTGTTAGGCGATGAAAGAAATAAAATGTGTCTTGGATCCCAGCCCAGGACGTAGCTTCCCCAGTCCTCTCCCACGCCGGCATGCAGGATGCCACTGAGGCCCGGGACGGAGTGGGATGAGCGGAGGGGCACTGACCTCTCTGTGACAGACTGTGCAGAGAGTCTGCAGGTTGTCCAGGGAGCACTGTCCTCCTCCTCCGAACACCGGCCGGATGTGGTCCACCTGCCAGAAGTGCCCTTCCCCGGGGGCTCTGACCATTTCGTTAAGCTGCAAGCAGAACCCAGGATCAGCATTTTTGTACATACACTGTGGGACTGTGGGTTTTGCATTGTGCGATCATGTTTACACAGCAGAATCAGGGAAAAATACGTTAGGATGGCTCTTTATAGCCTTTTTTTGTGAAAAGGAAAAAGCTTCTAGGTTAGCAATTTGAAAACAATAAAATGTCTCTGAAAAAGTTCTTTTTTCCTTACCTAAACCATTTTGAGAAAAAATTATAAGCAAGTAGAAAATACCAAGACTCCTGACAAACTGGGAAATATTAGTTGTTTTTGCACTTTTGAGCTAGTTTATACAGTCACTAAAACAAAACAGAAAAGAATAAGAACAGATTAAAAACTTAAAATGTCTGAATATTACTACTAACTTAAAAAATCTTTAATTGTTGACCTAAATGCATTTATTACTATACCAATGACAGTTTAACATTAATAGCTATAACCTGAAACTTCCATGCTAGTCACCTGGGAATCTGCCAGTTTACATGGACTGGTATATTTCTAGAACAACCTCTATAAGTTGCATATTTTGAATAAACAAAGATGTCCACTTAAAGTAGGGATGACTTAGGCCAGTCCACATACACACACTTCATATTTAAACACTGATGACCTACATTCAAACGGGATGTATTTTAACATTTTACCTAAGGTAGTAAAACCCGCTCACCGCCTCGCTGTGCAGTTGTTTAAATATCACAAAGATCAGTGTGAAGGTTGTTTTATTTCCTCGGTCTTGAACAAGGAAGAAGTTGTAATCAACTTCCTGCTGTCAGCCATGGGAACCTGTGTTGCAGTTCTAAAGCACTTTTAAGAAAAGCTGCAGACCTGTGTGGGCACAGGGACCGGTCAGCAGTGCCCAGCCTGAGAGGCACCCCAAGTGGCAGCGAGTTGGAGCGGCAAGCTTTGTCCGGCTGTGGCTGGAACCGTGGGAAGCAACTACTAATAGAAGTCTGATGCATCGAGCAAATGGCGCATTCTTAGGAAAAAGATCCATTTTGGTTCTGCCTTTTGTAACCAATTCTTTTGCTCTGAACAGTCTCTACTCTGACAGACTCTATGGCAGCCGTGGGCAAACTACGGCCCGCAGGCCGGATCCAGCCCATTTGAAATGAATAAAACTAAAAAAAAAAAAAAAGACCGTACCCTTTTATGTAATGATGTTTACTTTGAATTTATATTAGTTCACACAAACACTCCACCCATGCTTTTGTTCCGGCCCTCCAGTCCAGTTTAAGAACCCATTGTGGCCCTCGAGTCAAAAAGGTTGCCCACCCCTGCTCTATGGTCTAGATTACAGCGGTTCTCAACCTGGGGGTCGCGACCCCATTGACGGTCGAATGACCCTTTCACAGGGGTCGCCTAAGACCATCCTGCATATCAGATATCTACATTACAATTCATAACAGTAGCAACATTACAGTTATGAAGTAGCAACGAAAATAATTTTATGGTTGGGTCACAACATGAGGAACTGTATTTAAAGGGCCAGAAGGTTGAGAACCACTGGTCTAGAAGGTTTTTATTCTCCCTAATAATTTGCAAATCACGTGGGGACATCTTCAACATCCTAAATTCACCTGTCAAAGAGTTACCCCCTCTCTGAGCGGTCCTCCCAGAACTGAACCTGTGGTGCTCCCTGTCCTCTGAGCACTTTTGTTTTGGGTGTCACTATGCTACTTCCTGGACAGGCTGCTTCCAGGATGTCCTCCAATCCTGCCACGTGTGTCTCCTGGCAGCTTCCTCACTGAGGCAGCAGACAGTAACGAGTCCGGGTGACACTCTGGGAAGGGTGCAATATGTCCTTCACCAGTTGACCAAAGGATATTTCAGGAACTCAGGACACCATTTAAAAAATAGTGTATCTCCCTAGTTCTCAAAGTTATATGAATTCATCTTTGCAGAAATGCTTATTAATGAATTCTATCATAATTCAGCAATAATAGGTAAATAAAAATATATGATTTGACAATATTTTAGTGGGCAGAGAGTGGCTCAGAAGTGATTTTTTAAAAAATTAAGCTCGCTGCCCTGGCTGGGGTAGCTCAGTGATCAGAGCATCGGCCTGTACACTGAAGGGTTATGGGTTCAATTCCCGGTCAAGGGCATGTAACTGAGTTGTAGGTTCAATCCCTGGCCCTGAAGGGCACGTGCAGGAGGCAACCAATTGATGTCTGTCTTTCACATCGATGGTTGTCTCTCTCTCTCTCTCTCCCTCCCTCCTTCCTTTTCACTCTCTCTAAAAATTAATGAAAAAGATATCCTCAGTTGAGGATTAACAACAAAAAAACTCAGCTCACTATAAAATTATACATTTTGCTTTAGTTTGAAGTTTAGAACTGATTAAATCACAACATTAGAAATCCAATTGAGTTTTGGGAATCAAATCGAATATTGATGAGTCTAAAGACAATATTTTGTTATAAATTGCTCTGCTAACATCTGATTTTACAACAGATGAATATGTTTCCTTCTCATTGCAATGAACTGCATTTTATCTGTTTGCCCTTTGTCATTCAGTACTAACATCATGAAAAGTAGAACAACTGGACCATAGTTGTTGTGTGTGTGTGTGTGTTTTTAATTTATTGGGGATGTGGAGAAAAAGGACACCTTGTACACTGCTGGTGGGGGTGTAAACTGGCACAGCCACTATGGAAAACAGTATGAGGTTTCCCCATAGGTGCTTCTTTTTTTTTTTTTGGAATCAGACCTGGGATCCTTCGGTCTATGGGCTGACACTCTATCCACTGAGCCAAACCGGCGAGGCTCCTCATAGGTGTTTCTTGATGCAATGTATCATCTGTTAAGATCTCTTCCCCAAATAATTTAACAAGAATCTAATTAAGCCTCTATATCTTATAACCATTATTCTGGAAACCAGGGAGATAGAGAACCATGTCAGATAATACCACGAGAATACGGGGAGACACATCCAGAATGTGGGAAATCCTATAGGCAAATGATCCAGTTTCCTCAGCAATTTATGGTGTAAGAAAGAATGGGGCAATACAGAGTAAAGAGACTGTAAGAGGCATGACTAAACGCCATGTCATACTTCAAAGGGCCATACTTTGATCTAATCTGAACAAGGCATTTTCAGATTGTCTGAAAAGATATTTTTGAGACAATCTAGGTGGGAAACCAAACACAGACTTATTATAATCAAGAAATTACCATTGTTTTGGTAATGGCTATTGGGGGTATGGCATTAAATTTCCAAGACAGACATAAAAAAAAAGAGGGAAGGAAAGAGGATGGGAAAGAAGGAAGTCTTTATCTATGAGGGATACATAACGAAAATATTTAAGGATGAAATGAAGTGTTGTCTAGAATTTGCTTTAAAATAATTCCAGGAGAAAAAAAAGAATTGAGGTAAGGGACAGATGAAAATTAAGGCAAAAATGTCGATAACTGTTAAAGTTGGGTGATGGGTTATGGGTTCATCATTCTCTCTACTTTTGTGTGTATATTTAAGATTTCTCATATGAAAAGTTAAAAGGAGAGTGAGTCAGAATCCATCCCTCAGTACAACACTGCCTTCTGTCTGCCACACAATTATAACTTACCTGATCTAGAGGGAGCTTTGAGGTCCAGGTAACATCCAGAAGACTCTTGCGCTGACTTTTAGGAGCATCTCTCAGACGTAAAAAGAGTTCTTGTGCGTTCAGATTACACAGCTGACACACACCATGTTCAATTTCAAATACTTTGGCTCGCAGGTAACTGTTATTAGAACGAATCCAAAACTCCTCCTGACAGTTCAGAGAGCAAAACCGTGAATCCCAAGCGTTCGCTTTGCACTCTTGCTTAGTTTGGCCCGTGGGCTGCTGACAGCGGAGGCAAAGTGGATTCCCTTCATTATCCACAGCTTGCAGGTAGCCTTTGGATGCAGGAGGCTTCACAGTGAGACCAGCTTGCGCTAGGCAGGGAGTCAGAGATGGGACAGAGGCTCCATCGTCAAGACACTCCCTAGAATTGAACAGAACATAGCTAATTAATACACTAGTCTTAATAAGCCTAACTTCATGTAATGGTCTTCAGGATTTCTATGCTGATAAACAGTAAACATAGAACCCGCAGATTCTGTGATTCTGTGTGGAAATGAAACACTACAGTCAGCACTCTCGACTCGATGCCAAATACAGGGAAGAATGGTGTGTTTAAAAAAGTTGATTTGAATACAAATGTGCCGCATCTCTTGGGAATTTAGATATCATCAAGTTAAACAATCAGACTTGGAAACATCTGGAGAAGTTAGAAATGCTCTTCAGGCTGGGACAGGACTGGCTACTGTGAAATCCCAGCTAAAGCTCTCCAATCGGTGCACACCTCCCTGGGACACAGCCCCTTCCCAAGGCTCCCGTGGACCTGTCCTCCGGCTCCGCTGGCCCACGGGAAACTGTCACGTCCGTAAAGTGACCGAGCCAAGTAGCTAACAGTGTCCATAGGGTTAGAACCGAAGACTTGCTAAGCATGTGCCTCCTACAGGTAAACTCAGAGTCTGACTGAATTAAAATTAGAAATGAAACGTGGTAGGACCTGTGCTCAATTTGTTAGGATAAAAGAAAAAGGTGCATTACTCAATTGTGTTGAAAAGGCCTATGTGGGAATTACAACCGCTGTTTGCCTATGTTTTACGCTGCTTATTAGAAGCGTTAGAAGAAAACTTCTTAGGAAAGAAAGAGCTCAGTATTAGGGGGCAGAGGACAATTTGACCTCAGGCCTCCTAGCATCTTAGTGGCCTGGGCAGGTCACTTGGTCTACCTGATCTCAGGGTCCTCAAAATAACCTTCTTGTCTCTAATTTCCAAGATGAGGCCATCATGTGCCTCACAGGGTTGCTATGAGAACTGAAGAATTACTGTATTGTGAAAGCTCTTTGGAACCTGTAAGGTGGCCACACAAGGGAAAAGCACAATTACAAAAATGAATGCAAAAATGGGAAGCAGTGGTCTCAGTGCTGCTGCGCCCGACTAGTAAACAGGCCTTACTTTGTAGACGTGTCCTGCGGCCCAGCCTCCTTGGTGATCAGACGGACATGGCCCCCCGCATTCTTCACTTTGTCCATCGAGGCTGCAGCAACATCTTCTTTAGTTATGTACCTAAAACAATGACCTGTTAGGTAGATGTTCTCTCCCTGGTAAGACATTTCCTGTTCACATCACTCCTTGCAAAGGCGATAGGAGAGAAAAAGCGAGACCTGTCTATTGGATGTGTGATGCCAAAGTTAGGGGATGACATTTTCTCCCTTTATACTGGTCACCACGTGTGGGAAACACATCTCTTTCTTCCACATTTGATTTATTTTTCTAAGAAATTGAGGAGCCATTCAGTGTTCTACGGACCCATTTTCCTTAGAGGGAAGAAAGAGTGGGCGTAGGGATGAGAAATGATGGAGCGCATGCACACTGGCAGCCTTGGGTAGAGTGCAGGAAATCTCTAACAGCGTTTCCCCTCTCCTGGCCTCCTCTTCATGGTTCCACAAATCACCTTGATCAGTTGTAATAGAGAATCAGCATTTCAGGTAAAGTGGTTCTCTTTTTAGTTAAACAGGTTCAATCACATCTGCCCTAATCTCAAGGTTGTTCCCATTATTATCAGCCCATCTGGGTTTACAGAACTGCCACTGAAGTGAAGCCACTCTTGCTGTGGGATTCACGGCACCATCATTCCCACACAAGGGTAGGGGCTGGAAGTGAGGAGGAAAGTTATCCCAATTAAAGGTGATGGGGGAATGTAAGTAGGTGAAATGCAATTACCCAATTAAGTCCTTCTAATTAGCATGGCCCAGTTTCTCTGGTAGTTAACACCTATTATAGTTGTTTTTTTTTTTTAATCAGTTCAAACATAAATTTCTTCATTTGTTGAGTACTTCATTTGGGAGCTTGACAAAATCAAACTTAAATCACAATGGAATAGTTCTGCAATTTTAGGTAAATTTTAGAAATTTGCTTTTATGTTGTTAAAGTAGATTTAACAATTAATAGATTTCCTTTTTCTTATAAAGTATTTTATTACTTTTCAATTAGGTGATACATACTGCACATATTTCAAAATTCAAACGACAGGCAATAGTGTATTTCCCATCCTTTTCACCTCCCCCAAAGCTATCTCTGCTGCTAGTTTTTAACAAATCTTTTTAGAAAAAAATTTTTTTTTCTGTATATAAGTTATACATTTGATTTACTTACCTCAGTATTTTTACAGACACATAACTCATAGCACTAAATTTAACAATTTAAATTTTACAATCCAGTGCATTTTGGTATGGTCACCAGATGTACGACCATCACCACTACTTGGTTCCAGAACATTTTTATCACCTCAGAAAGAACCCTGAACTCACTAGCAGACACTCCCCATTATACCCGTTCCCTTTAAAAACAAACGGTAGCATCACATACATAGTTGTCGTCACCTTGCTCTGTTTACCTAACCATACATCTCAGGATCTCTGCTCGGTACACACAGAGTTGCCCTGTGTTTTAAATGGCTGCAATATTCTATTATTTGGACAAACCATGTATCTAACCAGCCTCTGATTAATGGGTATTTTGGTTGTCCCCGCCTCTGCTGTCACAAACAACGCTGTCATAAATATCACTATACATGATATTTTCTACACATGAAATAGATATAAAATAAATTCCCAGAAGTAGAATTGCCAGGTCAAAGTCTTGGCGCTTTAAATTTGGGTAGCTTCTGACACATTGCTCTCATTTGAGTTTGTTCCAATACAGACCCACCAGCAATGAATGGGAGCGCCTGTTTCCTCACACTTCCACTAGTACCAGGTATGTCATTTGAAAACTTCTTGCACCAAAAGGTTGCTGGTTTGATTCCAGGTCAGGACACATGCCTGGGTTGCAGGCTCAATCCCCAGTCCCCAGTAGGGGGAGTGCAGGAGGCAGCCGATAGATGTTTCACTCTCACATCGATGTTTCTCTCTCTGTCTAAAAATCAATAAAAATATTTTTAAAAATAAAATTTCTCTGTTAATGGTGATAGGTATCTCATTATAGCTTTAAGTCTGCATTTCTCCTGTTAAGAGTAAGGGTGATTATCTTTTCATACATTTGTATTTCTAGTGTGTGTCTTTCTTAAAGCAATAAAGAATTATAGTGAATTCCTTTAAAATTCTCTAATTTTACTTTGTAAACTTCTCCCCCCCCATTTCTTCAACCATTTTATTCCCTTGACAGAAACACTTCACGAAAGTATTTCAGTGGATTCTAAATAAACTAAAAAGCTTCATAGCTTTGAGGGGTGAAGGGATATTAAGTCTTGCCTTAGGTATTATTCAATGTTTAAAAGCTTAGAAACCCAATTCAGTAACTTTATTTATTTTTTTTTTAATTTTGCAATATTGGGGAACCAGGCGGCCAAGTCCCGAAGGACGTCCACCCATGCTCAGGCTGCTCGAATCTTTTATTGATCTGGAGTAGCCCTTAGGGTAAGGAAGTTTCAGTGACACACAGATCAGCAGACAATTTCCAGGAATAGACAAAGTATCTGATTAACTCATCGATAGATAAAAGATGCTTCGAAATCTATTCAGAGATTTAAGAACTAAAAATAACCTTTCCTACAAGAGTTTTTATTTTTAGCACAGATTTTTGGAAACCATAGGAAGAGATCAATCAACTCCAAATGGAGGGGGCAGGGGGATAACTTTTCAAACATAGCTGTGAGTTACCAATATTTAATTTTCCACTGAGTTTGCTATGAAGTTCATGTAAGTACATCAACTCTCAAATGGATTATGGTAATTCCCACTTTTGACAAATAGGGAAGGAAGAATGTTGTCTGCTACCTACTTCCTGGATGGGGCTGCGACAGAGGATGGCAAGTTTTGTAAGAAGAGAGGAGTGAGTGTGTGTGGAAAGTGGTCCACACCAGTGAAAACCCTGCTGATTCCAGGTTGCCCACCTGCTTTGGAGATGAGCTGTGGCTGGAGGATAACTAGTTGGCATCCTAAACTCAACAGGGCTCCAACGGGACCAGGGCTGCCTCTGCCAAATGAGAACTCACTTAGGAACCCAAACAATGGCTGGTGACCTTGGCTTCTATTCACACTGAAGAGTGAGCTGCTCAAAAGCTGACTGCAGGCCCTGAGCTGGGATGAGCCTGAAAACTGGTGGACAGCACTGGAGGGTAATCTAATTGGGGGGTTAGCCATTGCTTTTGGGGGGAATTCCTAAAAAGCAGTACCTATTTGTCTTTATTCTAAGGCCATTCCATTTTTTTCAGAGATGAATAATCTGCCTCGGGAATGAAATGTGGCTGCTGGAGATCTGGAAGTTGAGTGAAGAATATGGAAACACACTGAGCCTGATGCCAACCTTGGTCCCACTTCTCTAGAAAGTAAACTGGGAGGACAGTCGGGGAAAGGCGTCCAGTGTCTAACCCTCCTCATACAGCCCTGCCCTTCACACCTGCTTCCAGAGAGGCGTGGTTACTCCACTTTACTGAGACTCAGTGGGGTTCCGCGGTGAGAGTCGGCATGCTTCCTCAAAGTACCGCCCTCTATGGGGACGCAGTTTCATTGTCATGCTCTGCTACGCCAGTTTCCCTGGAGCCCCCCCTCTCTAGTCAATGACCAAGGTCTTCAGAACGACCTCCTTAGCACTGCTCTTCATTTTCTTTTCTCCATTCCCATTGCTAATGACTTCATAAAAAGCCCTCATCTTTTGTTCTTTCCAGGTCTACTACAATAGTCTTTTAATTTGTGTGGTAGGCAGAATTTAAAGACATCTCCCTAGGATTCCTGTCTCCAGTATCCAATCATGCCGGGGTCCAACCCCAGCAGGTCCAGGGGTCCCCAAAGGTGTGGATGGAGTCAGCGAAGAAGGAATGACACAGAGACAGCGTTCAGTTGATCAGCAGCCTAGCCAGGATCTCTAGCCAGGATCTCCAGCCAAGTTCTGGTCTGGATCTCCAGCGAAGTTCTGCTGTTTATTGTCTTGTTACATCCGTATTTATACCAGTTGATTTTAATCCTGTCAATTTCTATTGCAAAGGTTAGGGCGTTTCTTATCTCCATTCCAGGGAGTAAAGATTATGTAGCTTAAGCATGATTGTTTGTAGTTAAAGTGATTAACTACCCGCCTGGCACTTAGTTAAGGAGTTTTATCCCCTCCCTGACTTCAGGGAAAAATCCCTACCTGGGGAAACAACCTTTCTCGGAGAGGTGACCTTGGTTAAAACACACAGCGCTAAGGGGAGCAAACATATTAAGAACAGTATGCTATATACGCCAGGTCCCTTGAAACATATGCTGTGCAGATGTTTCTTTCCTGCAGCGACTGTGTCAAGCAGCAAGAATGGACCGGCTTCCGGCACAATCAATAACTCATCTAGGTCGGTGGTCGGCAAACTCATTAGTCAACAGAGCCAAATGTCAACAGTACAACGATTGAAATTTCTTTTGAGAGTCAAATTTTTTAAACTTAAACTATATAGGTAGGTACAATGTTATTAACTTAATTAGGGTACTCCTAAGGCTTAGGAAGAGCCACACTCGAGGGGCCAAAGAGCCACATGTGGCTCGAGAGCCACAGTTTGCCGACCATGGATCTAGGTAATGCTGTAAAAGGACTTTGCAGATGAAATTAAATTTACTAATCAGCTGACCTTAAGATAGTAAACAATTCCAAGCACAAGGAGTTCACACAACTTTGCTGGCCCTGAGATGTAGGGATCCTTGTGCTAGAACTAGGAAGAAGCCTCTAACAGCGGTTCTCAACCTGTGGGTCATGACCCCTTTGGTGGTCGAACGACCCTTTCACAGGGGTCGCCTAAGACCATCCTGCATATCAGATATTTATATTATGATTCATAACAGTAGCAACATTACAGTTATGAAGTAGCAACGAAAATAATTTTATGGTTGGGTCACAACAAGAGGAACTGTATTTAAAGGGCCAGAAGGTTGAGAACCACTGCTCTAGAAGCTAAGAGCAACCCCCAGCTGAGAGCCAGCAAGGAAACCTAAGTCCTACAACCACAAGGAACTGAATGCTGTCAACCACCTGAATGAGCAATGGCTCCTTCCCAGACTATCAGTAGAGCCCAGCTGGCCCACATCTTGATCTCAGCTTTATAAAATGCAGAGCAGAGAAACCAGCAGAGAAACTCAGGCTTCAACTTATAAAACCCCAAGATGATAAACCACTGTTGCTTTAAGCCACTGAGTTTGTGATAATTTGTCATGGTAGCAACAGAAAACTAACTCAACTCATCTCCGCAACTCGAGTATCACCCTTTCAATCTAACCTTCTAATTGCTGCCAGAGTGAGCTCTTAAAAACACATGTCCAACGGCTTACTTTGCTGCTTGTTAACACACGTGGTATCTATAAGATATCACTGCACATCCTATCTAATAAAAGAGAAGCATGGTAATTAGCGTACGACCGCTACCCTTCCCATTGGTTAACAGGGCGATATGCAAATTAACTGCCAGCCAAGATGGCGGCCGGCAGCCAGGCAGCTGGAAGCTAACATGAGGCTTGCTTGCTTCAGTGACGGAGGAAACCAACGTTCCCTGCCTGCTGCTGCCGGCCTCTGAGCTTGCAGTTTAAGAAACATTGTAACAAATATAGAAGCTAAACAAAACCCCGGAAACCAGCTTTCAGCCAGCCGGGATCTCAGAGCTGGAGTTGATACAGTGTCTCGATTATAGAACCTAAACAAACCAGATACCTACTTTCAGCAGCAGAGGCCTAAGAGCTGGAGCCAGAGCTAAAGCTGGCCCAGAATTTAAAAAAAAAGAAAGAAAGGAGCAGTTGGGAGCTTCAGTCCCAGCCTGAAAACAGCCCTCAGCCCCTCACCCAGACTGACCAGGCACCCCAGTGGGGACCCCCACCCTGAAGGGTGTGTGACCAGCTGCAAACAGCCATCATCCCCTCACCCAGGCTGGCCAGGCACCCAAGCGGGACCCCCACCCTGATCCAGGACACCCTTCAGGGCAAACCAGCCGGCCCCACCCACGCACCAGGCCAATATCCTATATAGTAAAAGGGTAATATGCCTCCCAGCACTGGGATCAGCGGAGCCACGAGGCCTCCCAGCACCGGGATCAGCGGAGCCGCGAGGCCTCCCGGCACCGGGATCAGCGTGACAGGGGGCAGTGCCCAAACCCCCTGATCGCCCTTCGGCTCTGTTTGTGACAGGGGAAGGCGCCCCAACCCCCTGATCAGCCCTGCTCTGTGCCTGATAGGGGGGAGCTCCCCAACCCCCTGATCGCCCTGCAGCTTTGTGTGTGACAGGGAGCGGCACCCCAACCCCCTAATGGGCCCTGCTCTGTGTGTGACAGGGTGCGGCGCCCCAACCCCCCATCCCCCGCCCCACGGGCCCTGCTCTGTGTTTGATGGGGTAGAGCCATAACCTCACCATCGGCCCTGCCCTGAGTGTGACAGTGGCGGCACCCCAACCTCCTGATCGGCCCTGCTCTGTGTGTGATAGGGGGCGGTGCCCCAACTCCCCTATCAGCCCTACTCTGTGAGTGACAGGGGGGAGCTCCTCAACCCCCTGATAGGCCCTGCTCTGTGCATGACAGGGGGCAGCTCCCCAACCTCCTGATGGGCCCTGCTCTGTGCGTGACAGGGGGGAGCTCCTCAACCCCCTGATCGACCCTGCTCTGTGCGTGACAGGGGGCAGTGCCCCAACCCCATGATTGGCCCTGCTCTGTGTGTGACAGGGGGTGGCGCCGCAACCTCCCCATCGACCCTGCCTTGAGTGTGACGGGGGTGGTGCCCCAACCCCCCAAATCGGCCCTACCCTGAGCGTGACTGAGGGTGGCATCGCAACCTCCCAATCGGCCCTGCTCTGAGCCCGACCAGGGGCTGCACCTAGGGATTGGGCCTGCCCTCTGCCACCCGGGAGCAGGCCTAAGCCAGCAGGTTGTTATCTCCCGAGGGGTCCCAGACTGCGAGAGGGCACAGGCCGGGCTGAGGGACCCCCCCGTCCCCCGAGTGCACATATTTTTGTGCACCGGGCCTCTAGTCCTATATAATAAAAAGGTATATGCAAATCGACCAAATGGCAAAACTGGTTGCTATGACCTGCACTGACCACCAGGGGGCAGACACTCAACACAGGAGCTGCCCCCAGCCCGAAGGCCCCAATTGCTCAATCGGCAAACCTCTCGGTCTCTTCCCCTGCCAGGCAGGCTCCAATCACCTGATGGAGAATGGGGAACCGGGGGTGGGTGGTGACGGGGTGAAGCCGGGAGCTGGCTGCTGGCAGCCTGGGAAGATGGCAAGCCAGGCCTAGCGACTGTATCTGTGCACGACTTCCGCACGCCGGGCCTCTAGTAATTTTATAAGTAACTTTGGTTTGTATCAATTTTATCAGACTTGCTTTTAGCCTGACCAGTCATCTTTCTCAAGAGATTCTTTAAGTGGTCATCCATGTCTGATGGAGAAGAAACTAGAAATGGCTGTGGTTAACTCTGACTGTGGTTATAAAAATGAGAAAATAGAGAGGACTAGAATAAGTATTGAGAACAATAAAATAGGCACCATGCTTTTTGTTATATATGTGTGTATATGTATGTGTAGGTGTGCGTTATGTATAAACACACACATATTTTAAATGTATTTTTTATATAAAGTAATATATGCTCCTGAGAAAAATTCAGTACAGAAGACATTAAGCAAGAGTCCAAAACTGGCAGCTCATAAATAAACCAACTCAGCAGAGTCATGCAGTAGTTTATTTTTAAATCTGAATTTAAATGATGTTAGATGGGCTGTGCACTTTACAATTTGCCATAGTTCCATCTCCTGCCCCATCTTTTTCTAGTTTTACACCTGACCTCATTTGTTCATTTACGATTCCTGCTTTGTTTTCGTCATTAGTTTGTGATCCTGGAGTAAAGTACAAAGTTCCTACCATCTCCCCAAGTCCCCTGATCTGTGGTCTACAGCAAGACTGCTCAGTGGTGGCACTCCTGACACTCTGAAACAGAAAACTCTTTGCTGGGGAGTGCAGTGCTGCTCACTGCAGGATTGTTATCAATACCCCAGGCCTCTGGCCACTAGGTGTTCCCCTGCTGTGTCCCCTGATTTTGACAAACTAAAAGTTGTCACCCTGGGGGTAAAACTGGCCCAGCTGGAACCACTGTCCTAGAGAAAGCTCTGGGGAGATTTTCTGAGGTATCCTTCCAGATACTTTTTACGTCAATAGTAGCAATTACATATATTTGTGTCTCCATCCTTTTTATATACTTATTTTTACCCTTAATGAATTATCACAAGTGTCATTCCTTGTTCTCCCATATGAATATACCACCTGCCATATTCTGAAACAGCTGAAGAGACTTTTCACTGTGTGGGGATATCATTTATTTAATCAACCACATCCTTTCCTAAACCACTGGTGAATTTTTTTCACCTGAGTGCACAGGAAAGGCCGGAGATCACAAAACGATGGCATGTGGGGGTGGAGGAGGCTAAGGTGTATGGACACAGGAGGGCCAGGGGGTTTTCCTGCCATGTGGCCGCTGGTGCTTTGTGATCCCTTCAGAGAAGAGAGGGCAGCACACAGCCACCTGCCCTTCCCGGAACCTGCTTCGTGCTGAGGAAAGAATCTACAGAGAGCGGGATCACACAAGGGGACGTGAGACCTAAGTGAGGCAGAGATGATTATGATGCCAAGAAAGGAAAGGACATGTACAGAGATTATCATCTGTGATGACAGAGGCAAACAGCTGCAAACACGAGACGCCCAACCTCTCCTTTCATTTCGTTTCCAACCACAGGCGTAACCGTTATCTCTACCACCTGGGTGGTGGTGCGGCCACCAGGACCAGCCCCCCTGTGCATGGCACCGAGACCCTCGGCCGGGATGCAGGGAAGACGGGCCCAGAGGCGTGTCCTGCTGTCCTCACAGGGAAATGTCTTCCTGTGAGCCAGGGTCCAGGGCTGGGTGAGTGCGACTCATGTTGAGAAGAACAGACAATCGAATCTTGGATTTCTTTAGTGGTTACACAAATGCCTCAAACCCCCCCCCCCCCCCACACACACACCTCCCCACTAAGAAATAACCATGACAAGTAATAAAATACAAAACAGATGTTTCCATCTCTCCCTCTTCCTTCCTCTCTAAAATCAATAATATATATATATGTTAAAATACAAAACAGAAAGAGAAGGACCGCCCATACCTTTTTGTGCTGTTTTGTTTGGTCTGTTGCTTTGTGGCCTCTTCGAATGCCAGAGCTGGGCTGCAGAACAGCTGCCCGCTCCTTCTGACCACCCTCTGCTTCATGGCCGTGAGGCTGCTCCATTCGCGCACAAACCGCAAAATCTGCCGGGAGATGAGAGGTGAAACAGTGCATGCAGCGCACCGCATGCCTTCCTTTGAAGTGGGGCTACGTACAACGTCGGGCACCTGAGTTTTATATACCCCAAACAGGCTTCTTGGGGGATAGTGAAAGCTTTCTTCGGTTTGATGGTTCATCTCCTTCTCGTGAACCTCCTACGGCCAGTTCTGCAGGCGTCTCCTGATCCAGAGACTCTGCAGGCACGTTTCAGGGCACCTGGCACACGTCCCTGGCTCCCAGGGACCAGTTGCAGCCATGTGCTCAGTGAGGCCGACAGAGGCCCTGGGTGGAAGCCGTGACCGGGGCAAAGCTGGCCTTGGGGACAGCAGGTGTGGCAGTCGTGACTGACAGGCACGGCAACACCTGAGAATCGCTTTGAACCCCACGACTTAAGTAATCGCAGGAAGGCAGCCATCAATAAACCTGGGCATTTTTATTAGAGTAACATTCATCTTACTTATTGGTCAAATATACACAGCTGGCTATCTTCTGGGAATCTGCGAATCACAAATAGATGACACTGAAGAAAGTAAGTCAGTGCTACCTTTCCCTTTAAGACAGGTGCAGCCCCCTACGGGCAATGTTTGATTTCTCCTCAAAGGGAAAAACGTAATCGCTGTTTTCTTGTAGAAAGCGGTACACTGCCTGCTGGGTCCGCCCTGCACACGCTGACCCTCCTTTGCAGGGAAGGGAAACGGGCCGCAGGTGAGCACCGAGGCCTCCCTGGCAGGTGCGTGGCCGGCACTGCAGGCTGGTGCTCTCACAAGGAATCGAGAGTCACCTCGCATGGTCTCAGCTCCGCTCTCAGAACCTGTCAGGTTAGAACTGGGCCCTCACAGATAAAGTGTGATCTGACAGATACCACGATCACAGCTGCTGCTCCCGTGAACGAGGCATTAAATGTGAGGATGATTCAATCCGCAGGAGCAGCCACGCTGGGTGTGATCACTCACCACGGAAACGGAGCTCACGTTTATTCTGAGCAGCGGGGTAAGCTGCCGGCGCGGCCGGTGATGGGAATTCTGTGACAGGCCGCGAGTGCTCCGCTTTTATTAAACTTGAAATGGTCATTAACATTGCTCAGATTTTAATTTACAACAAATTCACAGAACTGTTCTTACCAGGGAGCGATTTTGTTTCAGCTCAAAGCTTGCTGGTAAATCTTCCCAGAGGTCTAATTTTATATCCAAAGGAATGAAATTGCAGTTCATCTGGTTCCCATCCTGATTACAGATTAAGAAGGCATTGTTAATCCATTTTGTCTGTAGGCACCAGCAATTATTTTAAAAGTAAAGAACTGTATTATGACATAATAGCCCCGTCTCCCAAGATCCCACCCACACAGCCCCCCAGAAAGGACGCTGAGAGGAGGAGTGAGGAAGGCTCCCCGGGGCTCTCTGAATGCCTCAGTGCGTTCGCTGCTCAGGGAAAATACCACGCAGAGGGGTAGTCAGCTAAACACAAGGCTGGAGCAGGAAGTACTTCTTTATAAAGGGGGAGAAGAATCTCTGATTATGAAATTATAGCAACAAGAGTCGAATCATATTCTAACTCTCTTGGCTAAAAGAAAGCGCTCCAGCTCCCACAATTGCTTTGGGAAAAACACAAAAAGAAATTACATGCGGATTCAAAGTTTATATACATAATTGTTATTCTAAACTCAGTCAGACTTGGGATTCTGGCTACAAGGACAGTTCTTTAGAGTTACATGTTAATGACATCAATGGCTAAATGGCTGTTACTGCTCTTCCTTTTAAGCGGTGTCCTTTTAGGCAGCAAGCTGGTTTTCATCCAGATTCTACTTCAGCTCTTCGAAGGTCAAAAGGAAAGATCTCATCTCAACTCTGCTGTAGCTGTGAAAAGACCTGTTAGCATTCCATCTGCTTCGGGTCTCGTGTATAGGAAATAACTGAATAATGTTTTATGGTAAAGGGGCATGTAAGTATTTAGAGTGGTTGTACAAATGCACCGGAAACTGCTAAGAGAGATGTCAAGAACAGGAGGTGGCCACGCTGCCAGGCCGGTGGCTGAGCCAGGAGGGGTGGCGAGGCTGTGGCTGCACCTGGCCCGGCAGCCGGCCCCTGTGCCCCTGCCAGGAGCTGGCAGTTTCTCCCCTGCCTCCACCCGAAGGGGAGAACCACCAATCAGATGATTCAGGAAGCACAGCTTCGACTGCACAGAGTAACGAGTTAAGGGCTTCTGAATTCCTGTGTGTGCTCAGCCCGGTGTCCGACTTTTGGCTTCTTGACCCTCAGGCCCACCTGGGGTCAGTTCCCTGTTGCTCCCATGTGATGGTCAGGAAGCGTGGCCTGGCACTCGCTCCCGGGGGTGAGGGTGGTTCAGGCTCAGGTCTGCCTGGGGGAGCAGAGACGCCCGTGGCGCTCCCCCCGGGTCTAGGCCTGGGGTCCAGGCCTGGGGTCCGGCTGTCAGAGGAGCGCTGCCGACTGCCTGGCTTTGCCCGGGTCCCTCTCCCGGTGTGGCCTCAGGACAGAGGTTGTGGGCCAATGAGGAGGCTGCTCGGCAAGTTTGTATTCACGACCCTCCCCACCTCCTGCTCTTCGATCCAGTTCTTCCAATCTTCGTTAGAACTGGAAGTTATTACACGGAGCGCCATCTGTCTATGCCTATGTTTGGTGCAGTAGATAACATGGCACTGAGTTTGTGCAGCTCCAACATAGCTATCTTCGAAAAGGCATTCTTCCGGTAGAATGGCCCATGAGTTTAGAAAGTTATAAATATCATTTTCTTATACAGATTAGGATTTGAAACTGTAGTCCAAACAAAAGTATTCATAATGTCAGCAATTTTTCCTCAAATATTCAGACCAGTTAACCGAGGCCAAGGGTTCTCACATGGCCCCCAGCTCCTTCCCGGGGATCCACACGTCAAAGAGTTGATGTGAAAACAGTAAAACATGATTTGCCTCTTTCGTTCTCATTCTGTCCCAACTGTACAGTGGCTTTCCATGCACAGGCAGATCTGGGAATCCCACTGTCTTCTATTAAGACTTTAGAGAAAATTGCTACAAATGTAAATGTTCATTAAAAATTATTTTTGTTTTGGAAAACACAATTGTTTCTCATGAAAATAGGCTACTGATATAAATATGTACATTTATATTATGGCTACTCTTAAATAAAACAATAAATGAATATTTTTAGGTGTTTCCATTTTAATTTTAGATATAGTAAGTACCAATAGATATAAGCCACATAAACAAAAGCTCTTTGGGGTCCTCAATGAATTCAGGGGTGCACAGAGGTCCTGAGATGAAAGTTCGAGCCCCACCAGCCTAGGCTCTGGCCAGAACCTGAGCAACCCTTTCATGACATCGCATGGAGTCCAGTGAACAGATGGACAGGCGGAGGCTCAGTACAGACGCTGCTGTTGCTGCTGCCACAAGTGGCCAGGCAGGAGTGGCATTTTGTGAGAGGGCACTGTGGCAGGCACTGTGCTGACTGCTCTGCAGGAATCAGCTCCTTTGATCCTGGTACAGCTCCTCTCCACGTATCACAGCTGAGGAAACTGAGGCACAGAGCAATGAAGTGAGGTGTCCAAGACTCCAGAGCTGGTCACAGATCTGAGCTGAGGCTCTGGTGCTGCAGCCTGGGCTCCTGCCTACTATGCTGGTTGCCTCTCTGACTTACCATCGGGATCTGAGGACCAGCTTTAAGGAGAAGAGGAACTAGGCGCCAATCTCTTTGCTAATAAAATTAAATATCTCATTGAAACAGGAAAAAAGGAAGCCTTTTGCATGATTCAAGCCACATGACCGGCATGATGCTTACCTTGGTGTAGAGGTGGATCCGGTCGGTGTTCCTACTTGCACGAAACATGAGGGTGCTGTACACTGGCTGAGGGTCTGCGCGCTTCGACCGTTCTAAACAAGGAGATGAGAGAGAACCTGAAGGCCCATCTACCCTCTATCCAAAAGAGTTCAATCCAGTCTTCTGTGGGTTGGCTGATAAACCAGTTTTACCAAGTATATCAACATCTGTGCCGGAGAGCATGGCCTGGGCCTGAACAGGACGCAGGGAGGCAGCTCGGAGCATGGCCTCCCGGCACCAGGGGCTCTGCGCTTTTACTAGTGACCCAGGAAGAAAGGAACACATTCAGAATGAGCTGAGCGTTACAAGTCAGGCCTAAGGGGGCATTTCCTGCCACCACGAGGGAAGGAGTGTGGCATCTAGACTTCTCCTAGAGCTGATTTAAGTGGAGGCTGAAAGGGCACCGTCTTGATCAGTAGCAACAGTACCACCCAGAGAGGGCCCCGTAAGTGCCCAACTCCCTGTGGCTTCGCCTCACATTCACAAAGGGAAACAAAGGGACACCTTCTCTCCTCACAATCTCTTTTCATTTATTGCTTTCTCAGTTCCACTGACAAACATGTTCTGTAGGAAAGACAGGGTTATCAACGGTGACCTAAATAATAATTATAGTTAACACCACGTACTTACCATGTGCCATGCACTGGGCTCAACACATAGATTAACACTTCTCAGAAATAAGCAGTGCATTATTCAGAGGGGAAAACGGAGGCACATTCACTTGCCCAAGGCCACGCCGTTAGCAAGAGGACTTAGCCCAGTGAGTTACTGTGGTCACAAACTGAGTAACGAAGAAAATAACCCCAAAGCACTCACAATCTCTTGCCAGCTGGCACAAAAAGATAGTGATGCATGACATATAGACTAGTATTTGCCAACTATCACAGCTATAAATAATAAGTGGAATCAACCCAAAAGTAAATAAATCTGAAACACTATGTGGTTGGCTCCAAGTGCAGTCATGATTCATATAGTCTTTTATAAAAAATTAAACTATAGTTCATATACATTATATTAGTCTCCAGCATACAACATAGTTATTCAACATTTACATCCTTAACAAAGTGATCACTTGATTCATGCAGTCTTGAAATTATGTTCCTCAGAAAAATTTTCTTTACCAAAAACACACAAAACCCCAAACCCTAAAGTTAAAATCTGCCAATTAGTTGTAGGCATTTAAAAGGAATTCATATGTAAAGAATTAATTATCTGCTAATGGCTGTTAATCTGTCAACCTTACCATTTGGCCCCAAAGAACCTCCCAAATATCCACACCATCCAGTTGCTGGGCCCGGGTCGCTGTGTGAAGGGAACCAGGTCACTGTGTGAAGGGGCCGGGGTCGCTGTGTGAAGGGGCCTGGATCGCTGTGTGAAGGGGCCGGGGTCACTGTGTGAAGGGGCCGGGGTCGCTGTGTGAAGGGGCCAGGGTCGCTGTGTGAAGGGGCCGGGGTCGCTGTGTGAAGGGGCTGGGGTCGCTGTGTGAAGGGGCCGGGGTCGCTGTGTGAAGGGGCCGGGGTTGCTGTGTGAAGGGGCCTGGATCGCTGTGTGAAGGGGTCGGGGTCGCTGTGTGAAGGGGCTGGGGTCGCTGTGTGAAGGGGCCTGGATCGCTATGTGAAGGGGCCGGGGTCGCTGTGTGAAGGGGCCTGGATCGCTGTGTGAAGGGGTCGGGGTCGCTGTGTGAAGGGGCCAGGGTCGCTGTGTGAAGGGGCCAGGGTCGCTGTGTGAAGGGGCCGGGGTCGCTGTGTGAAGGGAACCGGGTCATGTGTGAAGGGAACTGGGCTGCTGTGTGAAGGTAACCGGGCCGCTGTGTGAAGGGAACCGGGGTCACTGTGTGAAGGGAACCGGGGTCGCTGTGTGAAGGGGCCGGGGTCGCTGTGTGAAGGGAACCGGGTCGCTGTGTGAAGGGGCCAGGGTCGCTGTGTGAAGGGGACGGGGTCGCTGTGTGAAGGGGCAAGGGTCGCTGTGTGAAGGGGCCAGGGTCGCTGTGTGAAGGGGCCGGGGTCGCTGTGTGAAGGGAACCGGGTCATGTGTGAAGGGAACTGGGCTGCTGTGTGAAGGTAACCGGGCCGCTGTGTGAAGGGAACCGGGGTCACTGTGTGAAGGGAACCGGGGTCGCTGTGTGAAGGGGCCGGGGTCGCTGTGTGAAGGGAACCGGGTCGCTGTGTGAAGGGGTCGGGGTCGCTGTGTGAAGGGGCCAGGGTCGCTGTGTGAAGGGGCCAGGGTCGCTGTGTGAAGGGAACCGGGTCATGTGTGAAGGGAACTGGGCTGCTGTGTGAAGGTAACCGGGCCGCTGTGTGAAGGGAACCGGGGTCACTGTGTGAAGGGAACCGGGGTCGCTGTGTGAAGGGGCCGGGGTCGTTGTGTGAAGGGAACCGGGTCACTGTGTGAAGGGGTCGGGGTCGCTGTGTGAAGGGGCCAGGGTCGCTGTGTGAAGGGGCCAGGGTTGCTGTGTGAAGGGGCCAGGGTCACTGTGTGAAGGGGCCAGGGTCGCTGTGTGAAGGGGCCAGGGTCGCTGTGTGAAGGGGCCGGGGTCGCTGTGTGAAGGGGCCAGGGTCGCTGTGTGAAGGGAACCGGGTCGCTGTGTGAAGGGGCCTGGGTCGCTGTGTGAAGGGAACCGGGCCGCTGTGTGAAGGGGACTGGGTCGCTGTGTGAAGGGGACTGGGTCGCTGTGTGAAGGGAACCGGGTCATGTGTGAAGGGGACTGGGTCGCTGTGTGAAGGGGCCGGGGCTGCTGTGTGAAGGGAACTGGGTCACTGTGTGAAGGGGCCCGGGTCACTGTGTGAAGGGAACCAGGGTCACTGTGTGAAGGGAACCGGGGTCACTGTGTGAAGGGAACCGGGGTCACTGTGTGAAGGGAACCGGGGTCACTGTGTGAAGGGAACTGGGTCGCTGTGTGAAGCGGGGGGCTGAGGCGGGCAGCAGGTCTGGAGCAGGGAAGCCAGGTGCTGGTTTGCGCTCTGGTGATGTCCGAGTGCCAGCAGCTCTGCTCTCCCCGCCATCTGGTGTTTAAGTGTGTGGCTTATATTTTTAATATAAATGAATACACGAAGAACCCAGAACCAGGCAGTGATCACAAATCTACTAACAGCATCATGTGTCTAAGCACATGGGTATTATTTGGACAATGGAAATCGAAGCAAACTTACCATCACCTGCCTGGGGCGTGAGTCCATCTTCTCTCTCGATTTTTGATATTTCCTCCTTGCTCTCAGCCAACGGTTCTGGTTCTGTCTGTACAAGAACTCGTTTTTCACAGTCAGAATCAGTGCAAACATTTTTGGACGTGTCTTTCTGAGAATCATCTTCCTCATTTCTGTTTTTATCCAGGGTATAATGTAGGCTATCTATTTGTAGTATTATAAAAATCAAACAAATAATTTATACATACATTAGATAAAGTCATTATTTACTCTAAGCCAAGTTTGAAAAGGAAAGTTTAAAAAAGTCACAGTAGTTCTTATAGAAAGAAACAAAGTCAATAATGTTTGCTCATCCTCTGGAAACATGTATTGGAAGACACTAAATGCCAAGTTCTACACTAGGTGCTGGACGGGAAGCAAGGACAAGACAGATGTGTCCCCCCACCCTGGAGATTCCATTCCAAGTGGCAGAGGTAGACGATAAGCAGGCAAACAAGTGAATAAGGCCCTTTAAGATAAAACAGGGTTCTATCTGAAGGTAAGTAAGGGGATGGTCAGCAGGGCCAAGCTCTAGGAAGAGCCTCATTTGAGCTGAGAGTGTCCCTGAGTCTAGGAAGCCTGGCCCCGGGTCTATATTCTTGGGTTAGATTCTACATGTAGCTAGAAGATAGTAGAGGGCTTTAGGCAAAGGAAGACACTGGCCTAAGTCTTTAAAGGCTCACGCTGGCTGCTGTATTGAGAAGAGCCACAAGGGAGAATAGTAGAGAGGCCACTGAGGTATGAGAGAGAGAAAACCGTGGATTCCAGTGGGTGGTACCAATAAGATAAAGTGGCCAGAATCAGGATATATTTTAGAGGCCACACCAGCAGAATCTGATGGATCAAGTGTGGGAAGAGAGAAAGGAATCAAGAATGCTGTCTAGGTTTTTAGCATGATAAAGGGATGATAGGGGAAGAGAAGATTTGGGTATTGGTGGTGAATCAACAATTACACTTTGGACATGCTAAGCGTGAGGTACCCATTAGACCAAGCATGTCAAACTCTCGGCCCTCGGGATGCATGCTGCCCACAACGAATATTTTTGCAGCCCAGCCAATATAATGGTATGTAAGAAATGTTTTAATAAAAATTTCATAACTTAATTTTTACAATATCCTGCTATATATAATTATTAATAATGAACTACAACATTCACTAATGACTGATTACTATAATCGTGTTGCATCCATTTCTCTTACGCACCTTATGCACAGGTGCACCATTTCTCTCCACTAATACTAGCAGAAAATAATTTAGCAGCCAATTGCCATGTCATTACTCTTGGACTGACTTGTTTGTTGTGCGCAACAGGAAATATTTCGCTTTTGAAGTACAAGAAAAATAGGTCGATTTGCGTTATGCTTATTAATTTGTGCAGTTATTCAGTGTCTGGTAAGTTAATGTTCAAGAAAAAATATTAATTTTTATTAAAATGTTCTATTATTTTATGTTAACAATTACTCATTTATTTCAGCCCTTTGTATTCATATGTCTCTACTGAAATAAACCTATGTTTCTATGAAAATTGAAGCTTTGTTTTTTTGCGGCCCACATAAACTTAAAACTTGTTTATCTGGCCCGTGTTAGTCTTTGAGTTTGACATGCTTGCATTAGACGTCCAGGTGGAGATAGATGTTAGAGACCACTGGATACATCCAATCTGAATCCAGTGAGAGAAATCTGGGCGTATAACTGTAAAATGTCAAGTGTAAACTATCAATTTTAAGAATAAGGCACAAGAGAAGTGTTACACATCTAATCTAATAATAGAGGAATATGCAAATTTGTCTGTTACAGCATCACGACCGGATCAGCAGGCTGCATCCCCGCCCTCTGCTCAGACAGCTGCAAGGCCTGGGATAGGATAGGATACGATAGGTGGGGATAAGAGAGGAGAGGGAGAGGAAGGCAGGCCTGCATGCACACAGGCCGAGAGGAGAAACAGAAATACAGAAAGGGAACAAGAAAGAGATGCAGGAATGAAAAAGGGAAGGAAACTGCATGCGGAAGGGGGTGACGACCACTGGGGGATGAGGGAGGAGGAGGAGGAGCAGGTGCACCTGGCAAGGGGCGGGGCGTGGGCGGTGTGGAGCAGGGAGCCCCGCCCAGGTGCAGGAGGAGGGCGGTGGCGGCCATTGGCGGGGAGGCGTCCCCGGGTCTGGGACAGAGTGGAGGATGGTCCGAGGCCTTCTGGGTGGAGGTGCTCCTACTTCGTGGCAGCAGTGCCCAGGCCTCGGCCACTTTCGCTGGGCCCGGCATCCCAGGCAGGGAATGGGAGCAGGACAGCAGCAGGGAGGCCGGGGAAGGGGGGCGGGCAGCGAACACCTGGCTGGGGGTTAACGCCCACCCCCCCCACCCCCCCCCCCCCCGAATGGAAGCTTTAAGAAGGGAAGGAGGAAGGGAAGAACTTTATAAAGGAGTCCGTAGAGAGCAGAGTTAAAGAAGGAAAGAGGATGTGTGAGTGAACTGTAGGAGCTATAATGAAAATCAAGTATAGTTGTGTACTGGGGACAGATTTTAAAAGTAGGAGTCAGAAAAGAAAAAAGATAAATGCTAGTGAATAATTAGGCAGGTAGATAGATATTGAAACAGTGGAAGTAAGTAGAGAAGAATGTGGATGAGAAAGGGGGAGGGAAGAAACGTTTTAAAGAGGAGCCGGTAGAGCTTAAAAGAATGGGAAGAAGGAAGAAATGGGGGAGGGAGCAAAGCAGGTCCGAGGGAGAAAGTGAAGAAAAAAATTAAGGTGGGAAGGAAGGAAAAGGGGAGGGACGGTAGGGGTAAAGATTAAGGAAAGAAGGAACATGGGGAGGGAGGGTAGGAGAAAGATGGGAAGAAGGATGATGGAACAGAAGTAGGAAATAAGGAGAAAAGAAAAGTTTATAAATGATGAGTCAGTAGGAAAAAGTGTTACATAAAGGAGAGAGAAAAATGTCTGAGAGGGAGAAGCCAATAAGGAAGTCAACAGCAATTGTGTGTGTGAAGGGAATAATATTAAAAAAAAAAGTTAATAGGGGCAACCAGGCTGGCAGGGGAGGACATTTAGGGGGATCAGGCAGGCAGAGTGGTTAGGGCAGGCAGGCAGGTGAGCAGTTAGGAGCCAGAGGTCCCAGATTGCAACTGGCAGTTGGACATCCCCCGAGGGCTCCCAGGTTGGAGAGGGTGCAGGTCGGGCTGAGGGACACCTCCTCCCCCCACTGGTGCACGAATTTCGTGCACTGGGCCTCTACTTGACAAATATTAGTGCTCACTAGTACACTGTACCAAATCTCACCTAATGTGCTAGAATCTGCATTAGCAACCTCTACAGGAATGTAATATCCTAAGACGGCTCCTTTGATTTTTGGATTCCACCATACCCTCAAAGTGTTACATGGCAGGCAAGGACTTAAAAGTTTAGATGGATTAGAAATAATTCCGTGGTTCAATACTTTTGGGGTATATCCAAATTAAGATTGGAAATCACTATACCAAATTACAGTAACATAAGCCTAATAACTTTTACATACAGTAATATCATTGTTATGTAGAATATATGTTTCTCTTTGAACAGATAGTTGCTTGTTCACAAAAGGTATTTTGTTTTTGTTTGGATTGCTTGGGAGTTTGCTTATTAAATCATGGGTCTAGAAACATTCATTGTTGCTCTTGGTATCATCACAAAGAGAAATCAGAACTATAAAACCCTATTAAATTATAATTTTTGTTGCTAAATCGCTCAACTTACATACTTAATGTGAACTGACATTACTTTGTAGTCACAAGATACTTTATTTTTATTGCCTGTAGCAGTTGGAAATTGAATGAGGTAATGCAAATTGTGAGAGAGATGATATGGGATAAGCTTGTGGTTCCAATTTAGTTCACAGACAACAGGTGTCCACATTACAAATATAACCACCCAGATGGCAGCCTTGTCAGTTTGGGTAGGAACACCCAGAATTGAAAAAGGAAAAGACTCAGCTACTGATTACACTTTCTCTCAAATCAAAGCTAAGACGGAGGGAAGCATGGCAGGCAAGAAGGACCTGCAGTTTCAGCTTCAACTTAGCTGCGTCTTTGTTAATGTTACTACTCTGAAGAATTCACATATGATGGAAAAGTAGATGTGAACAATTATTACACTTGATGAAACAAAATGACTTCTTCCAGGTTCCAAAACTGTCAACTTGGCATTTGAGTTACCATAAAAAATGACCTCTCACCCAGGAGAACTGGCAACAAAGGCATAGAGTGATCTTTTTCTTAAGACAACCAGGTATGAATAATCATTCCAAAAGCAAAGCATCAGGAAATGTCATCTCATGCTATGAAAACGTACTCTGAGGTATGTTTATGATGTCTACTTTTAAAACAGCGTGCTTTAAAAAAGAATAAACTCATAAAACATATCAAATCGGTTCTTTAAAAAGATCTGGAGAGGAATTTCTATGATTGTCATGCAAGAAACATGGCCCAGCGTATATTTTACTAGACAAAGAAGCGACATTGGGTTATTTTGTTATTTGAATAAAAATAATCTATAATTTCTGTAAAATCAAGTATTATCCTCTGAGTAAAGAAAACAGCAGGTCTATGACTATAAGGCATATTTGCTGCCATAGCAACAGAGCTTCTATTCCTGCCCACTGAATTCACATCCTGCTGGCATTAATCAGAAATGTCCATTTGTGCCAAATTAATGCCAGGCCACAGACGCTGGGGGTCCACATTCTTGACGGAGCCAGGAGCTTTCCACATTCCACAAGGGGATACATTCACTTCACATGTGCAGCTGTTCCTCCAGCTTAAAGCTGAAGGCAGTGCCGAGTCACACTGCCCTATGAAGCAGCCGTGGTCTCAAAACACCCCTATCTGGAAACACCCCTGTCGGTGCCCGTGTACTCACCAGCGCTGCCGTGAGGATTCCCACACACTTCACAGTAAGGCAGCAATGCGTTGTTGATGTAGGTGCAGAAACCACAATGCCAGTCCCCGTGGGGAGGGGCCGGGGCGGTGGCCGGGGCTAGAGTTGTGGTTTTCCGGGGCCAGGCCGGCTGCGCCTGTGGGGGGCTGCCGCGGTCATCGGGGGTGACTGACTTCTGTCTTTTAGCTTCAGGTTCAAAACTGTTTTCAAAATCAGTGGTATCTCTTGTAGGTATTTTTCCAGGGCCTAGTGGCACTACAGTATTTTTCTCGTGGAATAGCTTTGAGTCATCACAGGAGGTCACCGAGTTCCTTTTTTTAGGTTTTGGTAAAAAGAAGGATCGGATATCGTGCTGTTTTTCTTTTTCAAACTGGGAAAAACAAACAGTTATCAACTTAACAAGCAATCTGGCATGTGCTTCCCAACGAAACAGCTGGACAACCTGCTTTCAGGAGCCCTGTCTTTTCTCTTTTGAGTACCTTGTTGGGAATGATTCCTGTTTTGCTGGGACTCTTCATATATGTCTAGATGCAGAATACCATTCACACATCCATACACTCCCTGCGTGTGACTTATTTTATTTTAGCATTTACAACGTGCCAAGCACTTCCCATCTATTCACTCATGTGATCCTCACGCCTGCTGTGTGAGGCAGGTACTATGAGTCTTCCCATATTCCAGAGGAGGACACCCAGCTTTGGAGAGGTTAGGTGAATGGGCGACAGGACTTATGTAATTAAAATGTACTTCATAAACTATGGGTTCCACATGCAAATCAGGGAAAGAGGTGCTGTGTGTTTAAATATTTCAGGCCAATCAAGAACCTAGAGAAATGTATTTCACCCAAACCATAAACACAATGTTCATAAAAAATACGTTTTTCATAATTAACTGTTTTTCTTGACCAAGGAATTAGCACAACTACTTTAACAGACACATTTTAATGATTATCTTGTTTTCTTTTCTAACAACAGCGACATCTCACGTTTTTTATCTCTTTTTCAATGTGTAAATCGCAAAATGGTTCAAATTGCAAATTTTATGATTATAACACACACACACACACACATATAATGTATTCATACTTTTTAAAAAATTTCAATCCCCTTCCCCTAACCCCCCCAAAAAAATGGAAGGTAGGAAGGTTTAGGCTGTTCCCGTATTAGTGAAATTAAAACAGATATTATAGGAAAAAAGTTCCTCCCCCAAAATGTACTACTTTTAGCTTATGAGGCTGGTATTTACTAGTATACATTTTCTTTTTCTTTTTTTTTTTAATATATTTTTTATTGATTAAGATATTACATATGTGTCCTTGTCCCCACGTTACCCTCTACCCCCCACCCCCCACCCCCGCTCATGCCCTCACCCCCCCGTTGTCCATGTCCATTGATTAGGCCTATATGCTTGCATATAAGTCCTTTGGTTGATCTTTCCCCCTTACCCCCACCCTCCCCTACCTTCCCTCCAAGTCCCGACAGTCCAATCAATGCCTCTCCGTCTCTGGATCAGTCCTTGTTCATCAGCTTATGTTGTTCATTATATTCCACAAATGAGTGAGATCATGTGGTATTTATCCGCTCTCCAGTTCCATCCATGCTGTGGCAAATGGTAAGAGTTCCTTTTTCTTCTTCCTCTTCTTAAAGAATACCTTTCAGCATTTCATATAATGCTGGTTTGGTGGTGATGAACTCCTTTAGCTTTTTCTTATCCGTGAAGCTCTTTATCTGACCTTCTATTCTGAATGATAGCTTTGCTGGATAAAGTAATCTTGGTTGCAGGTTCTTGCTATTCATCACTTTGAATATTTCTTGCCAGTCTCTTCTGGCCTGCATGGTTTCTGTTGAGAAATCAGCTGACAGTCATATGGGTACTCCCTTGTAGGTAACTGACTGTCTTTCTCTTGCTGCTTTTAAGATTCTCTCTTTATCTTTTGCTCTTGGAATTTTAATTATGATGTGTCTTGGTGTGGTCCTCCTTGGATTCCTTTTGTTTGGGGTTCTCTGCGCTTCCTGGACTTGTAAGTCCATTTCTTTCACCAGGTAGGGGAAGTTTTCTGTCATTATTTCTTCAAAAAGGTTTTCAATATCTTGCCCTCTCTCTCCTTCTGGTACCCCTATAATTCTGATGTTGGTACGCTTGAAGTTGTCCCAGAGGTTCCTTACACTATCTTCATATTTTTGGAATCTCTTTTCTTTTTTCTTTTTCGGTTGGGTATTTTTTGTTTCTTTGTATTTCAAATCTTTGACTTGATTCTTGGGATCCTCTTTTCTGCTGCTGGATCTCTGTAAATTATTCTTTATTTCAGTCAATGTATGCTTAATTTCTAGTTGGTCCTTTTTCATGTCCTCCATGGTCTCCCTATACTTATTGAGGGATTCATTAAATTTATCGGCGGTTTCCATAAAATTCTTGAAAAACCTTATAAACGTGGCCTTGAACTCTATATCCAATCGTTTGCTTTCCTCCATTTCTGCCATTTGTGACCTGTTTCTTTGTCTCCGCATTTTGGCAGCTTCCCTGTGTTGATAGAGTGGCCCTGTGCGCCAGGTGTCCTGTAGGGCCCAGTAGCTCAGCCTCCCCAGTTTCCTGGGGTGGACACTCTTGGTGCACTCTTGGTGCCTTGGTTGTTGTAGAATCACTGGGAGGAATTGACCTCCAGGCCAATTGGCTGTGAGAATCAGCTGTGTCTAAAGTGGGAGAACTTCTGTGCTGAAGACACCCTTCTGGGGCAAGACTTGCTTCAGTGGGGCTTTGGTGCTCACTGAGTCTGCTCCCTGAGTGTGTCCCTTATGGATCTGAGGAGTTGCAGTCTGGATGGACCCCCTCTGACCACTGGGTACAGTGGCTCCTGGATCTAAGGAGGTGCTAATTCAGCTTCTGCCTGAGGCCACACAGCAGGAGCCACGAAGAGGCTCAGCTGTGAATCAATGCAAGCCGCTGCGGGGCCTTGGGCCTTCTCTTGGAAGTTCAGGGTCTGCCTGGTTCGGCTGCAGTTAGGTACATTCACATGCAAAAGCCTCTGCCGCAGCCTGGGTGGGGCGGGGTCTCAGGGAGTCAAAGGGCGGAGAAGCAGCTATGGCCGATTCTCCGCCCGGAGTCACGCGTCTCAGTGTCCCGGTAACGGCTGCAAGCACCTCTGAGGGAAAGCCGCCCTCAAGTTCGCCCGCTGCCGGACAGACCAGCCTCTCCCCGTATGAGACCTGGGTCCCCAGAGACTTCCCGGAACCGGAGTTCAGAGCAGTCAGGAGCCTGTGATTCAAAAAGACAGCCGCGTCCTCAGGTGCTACCCCCTTTCCTCGCGCACGCGCGAGCCGCCGTACCTCTGCACTTCACCTCCGCAGCTCCTCTGGCTCTCAGCGTGCTTTTCTTTCCTTCTAGTTGTAGAATTTACACTCAGCCAGCCTTCCTGTTGTTCTGGATGATGTTTGCTCAGTCCTTTGCGGTAATTTTCGATTGTTGTGTGAGGCGACAATTTCCCGGTGTTTACCTATGCCGCCATCTTAGTTGCTTTCCTACTAGTATACATTTTCACATACTATAAAATAATTGTCTAATTACTTGTGGAAGTTATAGATTTTAGATAAAAATATAAAAATGAAATAATTAATGATGAGACAAATTTTTTAAAACAACGCACAAAGGAAATTATAAGAAAAGGATGGAGAAAAGCAGAGAAATTAGCAGATTTAATAGAGTTTGGGGTTTAAAAAAGAAATGAGGGAACAAAGATAAAAAAAATTAAAGAAAATGTTCTACCCATATAATAGGACTGCAAATGGCCTCGCAGGATTTTGAAAATATTAGCAAATGTTCAGCAAACATGAACAGATTTGATCAGCTATTGCTAGTGAAGTGATGAGGATTTTAAGGTGGAGGTCAGCTCTCCGAGTCTCTGCATGTCTGGAAGTAGCTGGTTTTGTCCTAACCCTTAGTCAGTAGTTTCACTGGGCAAACGATTCTTAAATGTTTAAAGACATCCCTTTACTTTTTCCAACATTCGATGAGGGTGAGGCTGTTCCCTTATAGATGAAAGCTTTTTGCTTGTTTTAGACACTTTCCAGGCCTTTTATCCCCGGTGTTCTACCATTTCAATGGTCTGCACTTACTCATCCATATCTGTTTCTTTTTTTTTTTTTTTGTACCTGAATTATAGTGGTTTTTATTTATTTTTTATTGATTAAGGTATTACAAATGTGTCCTTATCCCCACATTATCCCCCATCCCCCCCACTCATGCCCTCACCCCCCTGTTGTCTGTGTCCATTGGATAGGCCTATATGCTTGCATATAAGTCCTTTGGTTGATCTCTCCCCCTTACCCCCACCCTCCTCTACCTTCCCTCTGAGGTTTGACGGTCTGATCAATGCTTCTCTGTCTCTGGATCTGTTTCTGTTCATCAGTTTATGTTGTTCATTATATTCCATAAATGAGTGAGATCATGTGGTATTCATCTTTCTCTGGCTGGCTTATTTCACTTAGCATAATGCTCTCCAGTTCCATCTACATGCCTTCTGCTCAGCACTCGGGATTCCTCAGTTTTGAACAGTATTATCTTTAGCTCTTGGACATTTCCATTGTTCTTTGATAATTTCTTCCATTCCTTCTCTCTTCTGGAATTCCTGTTAGCAAAACTTAGGGCCGAGACATCTATATCTTTTATTCTAATATTTCCCTTTTTTGGTGTTTTTACTTTCTAAACTCTTGGAGTTTTCCTGTATATGTATGTGTGTGTGTATATATATAAAGTCCTCACCCAAGGATGTTTTGATTGATTTTTGAGGGGGGGGGGGAGAGAGAGAGAGAGAGAGAGAGAGAGAGAGAGAGAGAGAGAACACATCAGTTGGTTGCCTTCTGTACATGCCCCCCAAACCCTTGACCTTTTGGTATACAGGACGGTGCTCCAACCCACTGAGGCACCCTGTCAGGGCAGAGGTTTCCTCTATTTTATCTTTCGAACCTTCTAGAGAATTTTTTATTTTGGCAGTAATATTTTTAATTTCTAAAAGTTCCTTCTTCTTCCCTGTTCCTTTTTCATGTTATTGATTTTACTCATATTGGCAATATTATTTCAAACCTGAGGCTACTAAGTGGAGTTTCTAAAAAGTTATCCTTAGGATAAATTTTTGTATCATTTTGTTCACTTTTTTAGCTACAGATTTTCTCCTCAGATGTCCAATGACCTTTGCTGTCCCTCCCTACATAAGAATGAAGGAACAGAAGGGTTGCCTGGGAACTCAGGACACAGGGGCTTATCACCAGAAGGTCTGATAGGACACAGTGATTGAATGGGAGGGATGAGGTGGATGGAAGGGCCCAGAGTGACCCGAGCCTCCTCGTTTATGATGTGCAACACTGTGGTGATGACATT